TTTTAATTACTGGCCTTTCTAAAGTGCTGTACAATTGAGGGAAAATACAGTATTATTATCGCCATTTATATAGCGCCAACACATTCTGTTGCGCTTTACAATATTATGAGAGGGGGGGGATTTAAAGGATCACTAAACTGGTTCATGGATTGCGGGATAAAACTTACCAGGAAAGGTTAAAGGATCTCAACATGTATAGCTTGGAGGAAAGACGAGACAGGGGGGATATGATAGAAACATTTAAATATATAAAGGGAATCAACACAGTAAAGGAGGAGACTATATTTAAAAGAAGAAAAACTACCACAACAAGAGGACATAGTCTTAAATTAGAGAAACAAAGGTTTAAAAATATCAGGAAGTATTACTTTACTGAGAGGGTAGTGGATGCATGGAATAACCTTCCAGCTGAAGTGGTAGAGGTTAACACAGTAAAGGAGTCTAAGCATGCGTGGGATAGGCATAAGGCTATCCTAACTATAAGATAAGAATAGGGAGTAATGAAAGTATTTAGAAAATTGGGCAGACTAGATGGGCCGAATGGTTCTTATCTGCCGTCACATTCTATGTTTCTATGTTACTATAGGGTCAGGAACACAAACACGTATTCCTGACCTTATAGTGTTAACACCACCATCTAGTCCCCTGGGCACCTCATGTCTCCATAAATATAGTAAAAATCTTACTGTATTCAAGCCAGAAGCTGTAACTCTGCATGCTGTTAGACTCAGAAAAACAAGCAGTCTGCTGACATGTGGTAGCCTGATCCAATCACGGTGCTTCCCCATAGGATTGGCTAAGACTGACAAAGAGGCAGATCAGGGGCAGAGCCAGCATGATTCAAACACAGCCCTGGCCAATCAGCATCTCCTGATAGAGATGAATTGAATCAATGAATCTCTATGAGGAAAGTTCAGTGTCTGCATGCAGAGGGAGGAGATACTGAATCACAGGATGCTGTGCACAGTGCTGCCCTGTGCTTTGCTGACAGCAGATCTGAGTGGATGGAGGCATATTGTGCATCCATCAACTCCGAAGTCCCTTCTGGTTCACTCTGAGTGACTCCAACTGGAGGTGTTCCTAGCTTCGAATGTAAACACTGTATTTTCATAGAAAATACAGTGTTTACATGAGAGAGGCTGCAGGGAGCTATAGTTCTCACCTGAACAACCTCATTAAGCTGAAGTTGTTCAGGTGACTATAGTGTCCCTTTAACTATAAATAGGACAGTTACAATAAAACTTGCAGGAACGATAGGTTGAAGAGGACCTTGCTCAAACAAGCTTACAGTCTATATATTAAAAATATATAGACAAAAACAAAAGGTAAAGAGGGCCCTGCTCATGAGATAAGTTCTAGCCATTGAAGTTATTTTATACAAATTACTTAGCTAGATATTCCGTGAGCTTACGGCCCTTAAGCCCATACATTATAGTCCAACAGCTATCACAAATCCTAGGTCTTGTTTTGGTTCAGATGTTGGGCAATTGCTTCCGACATTAAAGGAACACTTTATTCCAAATACTAACGTGTTCTTCAAAGGGTTGAATAACACATTACTTACTAACCCTATTCCAGCACCCATGTCCCTTGGATGCACTGATGTCAGCCGATGGAGAGAGACCTAATGTTTCAATGCTTGCGGAGCATGAGAACATCCAGCGTCATTTCACGGAGCCAAACTCCGTGAAACCCCAGAAAGCGCCTATATGGGCAGTCTGGTAGATAGCCAGTAGAGACAGTCTAAATACCCCAATATAAACATTGCAGTTTCACTAAAACTGCAATGTTTTACATTGTAGGACTAATGGGGACAGTGCACCCAGACCGTTTCAATAAGATTAAGTTGTCTGGGAGCCGATAGTGTCCCTTTAAGGGGTTAAGATATATATAAAAAAAAAAAAAAAAAAAATTTTTTTTTAATGACCGTTATCCTTTAACAATTTGTTTAATAAAGCTAATTTTATTTTAATTGTTTACTCCTTGTACTTCTTGGAAAGGATAATTATATCCTCCTCAGTTCACTACTAAAATCAATAATTAATTGGTGTTGAACCTTTGTTTTGCTCTAGTAAGCTGTTACTGAATACCAGGACCTAGTTAGCTCTTTATAATTTAAGGAACACTATAGTGCAGGAATCACGGTTTAGGTCGCCTCCCCCCTCTTCGTGGACATTAAAGGCTTAAAATGTACCTTTTCTCCCTCACCTCAGTCAATCCCCATAGAAAAAGCATTGGCAGGCTATTGCGCATGCACCAGTCTGCATCTCCTCGTAGAGATTCATTGAATTAATGCATCTCTATGTGGAGTGTTCAGCCTCTATATTCAGTGTCGAGATGCTGAACACTGGTGCAGCAAACTGTGCAGCAGTGGACTAGGAAGCACCTCTTGTAATGGTCTCCGTTACTGTCACTAGAGTTGTTCCTAGGCAGCAATGTAAACTCTGTATTTTCTCAGAAAAGGCAGTGTTTACAGTGTTTAAAACTGCAGGGACATGCTTAAGACACCAGAACCACTACATTAAGCTGTAGTGGTTCTGATGATTATAGTGTATCTTTAACTATGCTCTCATTTTTTTTAATTTTTTTTAAAAATCTATATAAAATTAAAAATATTTCTTTTTTTTCTTTCAAGAACCTATGACTTGTGTGAAGTGTTTCCTGGTTCCCATTTAAACATGATTGTTGGTGCTAATGGAACAGGGAAATCCAGCATTGTTTGTGCAATTTGCCTTGGATTGGCTGGGAAGACCTCCTTTATTGGTCGAGCAGACAAGGTACGTAGACTTTGTTCATACAAGGTGGAGCCTGCCGTCCAAAGTAAAATAAAAATTTAAATTAAAATCAATTCTTATTTATAAATGATTTAGCAGAGTAGAGGAAAGCTGCAAATTTGAGGAGTTAGCAGCCAGTTTAAGACACACACACACCATCATGCACAATGGTACAAATTGACAGCATTCTTTTTGCATGCTATGTTAGAAGCCAATCCATAGAAGAGTATATCCAGCTGTCAGTTGGCACTGTACATATTGTACATGTTACGTATAATGTGTATGCTTATTGGTACTATCAATGGGAAATCAATTTCCTCCTTTTGTCTCCACTCACAGTACAAATGGGTTGGAGATTTAAATCTTGGAAGGCACTTGAGAATATAGAATACAAAACAATACATTAAAAGGATAAGATTAAGAGAAATTGATTATACATATCAGGAATCTTAACCCTTTCCTAATTCTGGTAATACATAGGTTAAACTTTATATTAATATAAAACCAAAGGCTATTTGGGGATAGAGCTAAAAATCTACAAAAAACAATATATGTACAGTAGTTGAAAATAATTATGGCATGAATGTCAGAAACAATTTTAAAAGCTCTCACAAAATGTAAAGCAATAATAAGCTGCAGAGTGCCTTACTAATATGTTATGGGGCTAGATGCAACCAAACAGAAACATAGAAACATAGAATGTGATGGCAGTTAAGAACCATTCGGCCCATCTAGTCTGCCCAATTTTCTAAATACTTTCATTAGTCCCTAGTCTTATCTTATAGTTAGGATAGCCTTATGCCTATCCCACGCATGCTTAAACTCCTTTTACTGTGTTAACCTCTACCACTTCAGCTGGAAGGCTATTCCATGCATCCACTACCCTCTCAGTAAAGTAATACTTCCTGATATTATTTTAAACCTTTGTCCCTCTAATTTAAGACTATGTCCTCTTGTTGTGGTAGTTTTTCTTCTTTTAAATATAGTCTCCTCCTTTACTGTGTTGATTCCCTTTATATATTTAAATGTTTCTATCATATCCCCCCTGTCTCGTCTTTCCTCCAAGCTATACATGTTGAGATCCTTTAACCTTTCCTGGTAAGTTTTATCCCACAATCCATGAACCAGTTTAGTAGCCCTTCTCTGAGCCCTCTCTAAGGTATCAATATCCTTCTGAAGATACGGTCTCCAGTACTGTGTACAATACTCCAAGTGAGGTCTCACCAGTGTTCTGTACAATGGCATGAGCACTTCCCTCTTTCTACTGCTAATACCTCTCCCTATACAACCAAGCATTCTGCTAGCATTTCCTGCTGCTCTATTACATTGTCTGCCTACCTTTAAGTCATCAGAAATAATCACCCCTAAATCCCTTTCCTCATATGTTGAGGTTAGGACTCTATCAAATATTCTGTACTCTGCCCTTGGGTTTTTACGTCCAAGATGCATTATCTTGCACTTATCCACATTAAATGTCAGTTGCCACAATTCTGACCATTTTTCTAGTTTACCTAAATCATTTGTCATTTGGCTTATCCCTCCTCGAACATCATCCCTGTTACATATCTTAGTATCATCAGCAAAAAGAAATACCTTACCATCAAGACCTTCTGCAATATCACTAATAAAACAGTCAGTCAGTCAAAGGGAATAACCTTTCCAACTACTTTCAGTAACTCCAGCAGTAAAGCAAAGCTAAAAGTATTTTATTGGTACAATATATTCAAACAACGCGTTTATAGGTAAATTTTAAATATCCCATAAGTTTTAAAATATACAAGAGTGTTTGGTAAATAAGGTTATTTAAAGAAAATCTAATTCAATAAATATTGATAAGCTAAAGCTTATATATAAATTGTATATATCACATATTGGAGAAAAAAAAATGATCCACAGATATATTGGGCAAATACATGTTCTGTTGAAACAAAGGACAAAGTGGAACACGTGTATAATACTGTTGGAATGCACATGTGATGAATGTATAGAAGAATAGAATGTAATGAATTAGATCCAGCTGAAGGAGTGAGGTGACCCTATTTAAAAGAAAAGGTGGAAGACCGAATGAACCGCTCGAAGGAAGTGTTAGCCAACCACTGAGGCACAAATTAAAATGGAGGTCTAGAATTATTTAAAGAATGAATCTTGCCGGAGGGATTAGAGCACAATTGGTTCTGCCTTTTCTTGCGAATATGCTTTTAATGTAACTTGTGGTCCCTGAAAAAGTCCTAATCGGAAGAGATGCATTGGACCAAGATTCTTTTGTTTGAATACATTATTGTGCCAATAAATACTTTTAGCTATACT